CAATGATCTTCTGTAATTTGGGGTCTTGTTGCCAAGTTTGTTTGACTTTAATGACCAATTCATTTAACAAATGTGAGATGGTGACTAATTGTCCTGGAACACATTTTCTGGATAGAACATCTGCCACGACATTGTTCTTCCCTTTTTTATATTCTATACTAAAGTCCAACCCCATAAGCTGCTCTAAACCCCAATTCTGCATGAGGGTTGTAGGTGGTTGCTCAAGGAGATGCTTCAAAGCTTTCTGGTCTATTTTTATTATGAAGTGATTCCCAAGGAAATAGTGGAGTCATTTCTTTACAGCAAAAAGAATAGCATAAAATTCTTTCTCATACGCAGAAAGGAGTTGAAACTTAGGACCCATTGCTTTGCTGATAAAGGCAATTGGATGGTTATTTTGCAGCAATACAGCTCATATTCCATAAGCTTATGCATCAGTTTCTGTAGTGAAGGGTTGTTGAAAGTCAGGTAATGCTAGAACAGGTGCAGAAGTTAATGACTATTTGATGTTGTTGAATGCCTCCTCAGCTTTTTGTTCCCAAATGAAGGCTGTGTCTTTCTTCAACAAAGCAGTTAATGGAGAAGCCATTTTGCCATAGTTTCGGATGAACCTTCTGTAATATCCTGAGAGTCCCAAGAAGCCTCTAAGTTCCTTCACAGTAGTTGGTCTTTTCCATTTCTGAACAACCTCTATTTTACTTATATCAGGAGCAACACCTTCCTTAGTTATTATGTGGCCTAAATATTCGACCTGCTTTGTGCCAAAAGTGCACTTCTTGTAGTTTGATGCCAATGTATTTTCCTCCAAGATTTGAAGAGTTTGCTAGAGACAATGGATATGATCTTCCCACGTTTTTGTATAAACCAAAATGTCATCAAAGAACACAAGGATAAATTTCCTTAGATGTTCTCTAAACAAGTCATTCATGAGGTTCTGAAATGTGGCAGGGGCATTGCTCAGCCCAAATGGAAGCACTACCCATTCATAGTGTCCACTATGAGTTCTAAAAGTTGTCTTGTGAATGTCATCTTCAGCCATTCTGATTTGGTTGTACCCACTCCTTAGATCCAACTTGGTAAAGTAAGTAGCTCCTTTTAATTCATCAAGTAGGTCTTCAATTAATGGTATAAGAAACTTATTCTTGATAGTGGCAACATTTAACTTTCTGAAATCAATACAACATCTCCAGGATCCATCTTTCTTCTTCACCAACACCAATGGTGCGGAAAATGAACTACAACTCTCTCTTATAAATCCAGTTGATAACATATGCTTCACCTGTCTTTCAATCTCCTCTTTTTGTGCTCGAGGATATTTGTAAGGCTTCAAGCAAATAGGCTTCTCATTTGTGAGCTCAATTTTATGATCATATTTCTTGTTAGGTGGTAATTGAGTAGGTTCAACAAACAAGCTACTGTATTCTTGTAACAGGTTCTCCAATTCCAGCTGTTGTTGTTCATCGAAATCACTAGTATTTTCAGGTATTATGATGTTAAAACAGAGAGGACCAATGATAGGAAATAGCATTGCCTCGAATATCAATTGCTTTAAGTTTTCCACTATCCCGTAGCAGGTAACTTGTTCTGCGTCTCTCCTTGTAATGTTATAGTGTTCCCTTCATGCTGGAATTTCATGGTTAACTTAGCACAATTCCAAGCAATTTCACCCAATGTTCGAAACCATTGCATGCCAAGGATTATGCCAAATGTTGTGCCCGGTAATACTAGAAAATCTGTTGTAAAACTGTGTGCACCAAATTTCCAAGTTAGCTTTTCACATTTCCTTGAGATCGTAATAGGTGTGTCACTAGCAACTACAACCGGAAAATCTTTAACAGGTTGAGTTTTTAAGCCCAGTAACTTCACCCACTTAGCACTGATGAAGTTATGAGTGCTTCTGGTGTCCATTAGGAAAGGTACTGCCTGTTTTTTAATGAGACCTTGCAACTGAAGTGTGTTGTCACCTACTATACCCCTCAAAGCATGTAAAGAAACATGCACATTATCACTATGCAGTATTGCTAAACTGTTTTCTACTATAGATTCATCATCTTCATCTTCACTAACATCTGTGTTTTCTTGATTGAAGTTTTTTTGGGCACAAAAAATTGCATTTAATTTTCCCCAAACTTTACATCTTGATCTATGATTTTTCTCCCACTTTTCACCACAAAATCTACACAATCCTTTGGAGATTCTCTCACTAGCCTCTTTTGTAAATGAAATAGAAGTTGAGCTTCCCTTAGAGTCCGGATAAGCTTGGTTAGTAGTGGAATTTTGAGAGTGATTTTGTAGTGTTGTGATGGGTGGATTTCTGGATGTGAATGGTTGATTAAGCCATGGTCTTGTGTAGCAAGGTTGCACATTGGAAGTTATTGATTTCTCTGTAGAGATCTTCTTGTCTAATTCTTTATTAATATTATCCTGTAATCGTGCTAGACGTATTGCTTCTTGGATGGATTTGGGGTTATGAAGACGAACTGATTTCTCTAAATGGCTTTCCAAACCTACGAGGAAGAAACTGAGAGTCATGCCTTCAGATATCACCACACGCGCTAGCAAATAATCAAAATTTTCAAGATATCCAGGCAAAGATTCTTGTTGCCGTAAGCGCAAGATTTCAGCAATAGGGTCATCGTAGGCTCCATCATCAAATCTGTTTCCTACATCAAGCAAGATATCGGTCCAAGATTTCGACCTGAAGCTGGGGTTTTTGATGTAATGTCGTTGCCATGCAAAGGCATTGCCTTCCATGGATAACAAGAGCAGTTTCCCTCTTTGGTTTATTGGTGTTCCTTCTAATTCAAAAAATTGCTCTGCCTTGGCTCGCCAAACCCTAAAGTTTGTGCCATCAAAATAGGGAAATTGAAGTTGTGCGCGATGTAATACTGACGTAGTAGATTCGCTTTCATCGTCGTTCGGAGGTGGAATGTTGGTTCCCGCTGTTAACGCCGCCACGGAAGCTGCTAGAGTCTCCATAGTTTTCTGCATCACCAGCAATGTCTTATTCGTTTGTTCTTGTGAATCTACAAGAGATTTCTCAAAAGATTGCACACGCGTTTCGAGTTCCTTGTTGGTCACCATGATCGTTGTCTTTCAATTGATACCAATTGTAAAGAAAGATTCTTTTTTTTTTCCTACCTCTCTCTTCTTCTCTAATGCACAAAAATGAACGAGAAACAAACTTCATTTTTTAATTTCTGAATGATGATTGACTTTACAAAGAATGACTTATTTATAGCCTCTGGTCCCTAGGAATCTTATCTAATTTCCACTTTTATTTCAGAACTAACTATTAAAAAATAAAACAGAATTTATAACAAAATAACATACGACACTAAACCTTAAATATTGTTGCGCCAGCCACTCAAACCAACCCACGAGTATATGATTCAACGTAGGGTAGAGGATCCTCATCAAAACCCGCCTTTCTTTGATTCTGTTTTTTTGTTTTGTGTTGTTTGACTATCCTGGTGTTTCTATTGGGCCCTAAGGTTTCTGCTAAGCATTATTATCGGGTCTGATTCGTTTCGTTTACTGATGGTGAGGTTTAGATTAGTCCAAATTAATTGTTGTTTGTCCTGGTTTGAATTGGTCGAGTGTGATTCTAGATTGATGCCGTCTGGGTTTACATTAGGATTGATAGTTCTTGGAGGTTGTCTAATCTTGCTCTGTTGAATGTCATGATTTTATCCCGAGCCAATCATTTCATTGTTTGATTGTAATGTTGTATTGAAATGAATTGGATCAATAATTGCGGGTTATATTGGTTTGCACCTAAAGATATATGACGATAATATTTTCTTATGCCGAGTGGATTTTAGGATCCAAATTCGGATTCAAAGACATTTTCTAAAAAATACCATTTTCTAAAAAAGATTTTTTACGATTTAGTTGACGACTGCATGTTGTATATATACGGTCGTGACGACTCAATATCGTAATCCGGTTGTGAAACCTATCATAAACAAATTTGAACTAAAAAATTTGATCATTGGCAAGATGAACACTATAACATGAATTATTAAAATAGTTAAAGATACTACGATTACTGATTATTTTTCGTACACAATAAATTTTGATTTTCAAAATCCAATAACATCTTGCCAGTGTGAGTATTAACAATTTTTCAAAATTTAATTAAAAATTAATAAAATTGTCCAAAATATTGTACTTTTATCAAGGTGCATGAGTTATTAATATATTAGTTCTTGTCTTTATATTAGTATTTTTTTCAATTATTCTGTAATTTTATTTCTTAAAACTTTTCAAATAATATATTTTTATATTTATATTCTAAAATTTCTCTATGAAAATTGTTTTAATAATACATTTTATATTTTTAAATATATTTTTTTTGGATGAATTCCATCCATAAAAATATTTTAATGAATAGATTAAATTGATTTTTTATCAATGACGGATCAAATTTTTTTAATAAGATTTATAATGAATCACAATAAATTGATAGATTTATTTTCATCTTGGCCATTATAATTCAAAATAGAAATAATTTGTCACCATAATCTGTACCTAAAACTTTTAAATTTTAATTTGTCACCATAATTTTCATCTTAAGTCGTTTTGTGAGATTTCTGCCTGCGTCAAAGCTTCATAAAACTAGAGATAATTTTTTGACTGTTAAACTGTCACAAATTAGAATCAGATAATGAACATAAAAAAATACTTATACAGACAAGATTGATCAATTTTGTCACATGCATACACGATGATTAATTCCATTTTCTTAAAAGTACTTTTCAAATAATTTGTCCATAAAATCTGTCCAATCATACTCATAAATCACTATCTAATGGTAGTCATTACCAGGATCACGACATTGGCAAGAATTGTTGTTCACAGACAACTATTGCGTGGAGTACGATTTTATTATGTTAAGTAAGTTATATATTACATTCCTCTTACATTATTAAACAAAAAGATAGGTTTTGCATGTTACACACATCAACTAAAATTGAAGGGGACAGAAGCACTTCATTTCATGCATACAACTTCTGAAGATCATCTTTGAATTTGGCTTTCAGCTGCTCTCTCTTTATCTTGAGAGCAGCAGTGACTAATCCAGATTCAGGAGTCCATGGATCTGCCACCAACTTGATCTTTGCAGGGATTTCAGATTTCTCCAGCTTTGCAGATTTTGCAACCTGAAATGAACATAAATCAAGAAAATGAGCCATTAACCATTCAGCATATATGTAATATGTGCTTGGACAAATTTTCCCATAACCTCATACTAGAAGAAAAAAATAAGAAAAATAAGAGAAAAAAAATTTGAATGATAAAGTAATTTATAAAAGTTCTCTAAATCTTTATAGATACTTGTACTCCTGAAAATACCGAAATAATCATTTATAGAAACTATCTTATAAAACTTTTATAATTTTAACTTGTTCATCCCGTAGAAGTACTATCTCTGAGTGATCACAGTTTGGTGGTTCTAAAAATGATGCCTTGTCACAGCTGTGATCCTTCACATAAATTGAAGGCATTGAAAATTGCAATTAGCAAAGTTTAAGTGCACGAGGCATTGAAAATTGCAATCAGCAAAGTTTAAGTGCACGTGTTTCATCAAATAATTCAATACATTTGGAATATGACCGACTAGTCCTAATATGTGGTTATTTAATCTCGCAATGAAAAGAGAAGTAGTGGTTGTACTGCTTCTTGTGTTCATGCATTAAACTTTTATCTTGTTCTTCAAAATCATAGTTAAAAGATAGTAAAAAATTGACCAAAAGCCAGACGATATGAATGTTATGGAACTAAAATTTTCCTTTCAAGTGGGGTTGATTACGTGGATCAATTAGATTGTGTTGGTTCTATGAGGATCTCAGGAAAATTAGATTAACTGAAATATGATTTTTATTATATCATTACAAAGAGATGATATAAGATATATACAGGAGACCTAAGCTATTTTAGGAAATATAATAACTCTATTTTATGCTAGGATTCCTTGATTTATGGGATTGTTCCTAATTATTCAAATCTGTACAGATTACAAAGAAATATACAAATTTCCTGATTTATTCTTTCCTAAAATACTATTTGATTTCCCACACTCACCCTCAAGCTGGTGAATAGATGTTTTCCATTCCCAGCTTAGATACAATCTTCTGAAAATTATGGCAGCCCAGTCCCTTGGTAAGAATGTCTGCAATTTGGTCTTGAGAGGACACATATGGAGTGCATATCAAGCCACTATCAAGCTTTTCTTTGATGAAGTGTCTGTCTATTTCAATATGCTTTGTTCTATCATGCTGCACTAGGTTGTAGGCTATACTGATTGCTGACTTATTATCATAATAAAGCTTCATAGGTTCTTCCCACTTTATCATCAAGTCTTCTAAGATGATTTTAAGCCATAGCAACTCACATATACCTTGTGCCATGGCTCGGAATTCGCTTCGATCATTGGACCGAGCCACTACACCTCGTTTTTTGCTTCTCCAAGTCACAAGATTTCCTCCAAGAAAGGTGCAATATCCCGTAGTTGACCTCCTATCCACAATTGACCCTGCATAATCAGCATCAATATAGGCTTCAAGCTTCACATTACCATTCCTTTTGAATAGAATCCTTCTTCCTGGAGTTCCTTTAAGGTACTGTAAAATTTTGTGGGCAGCTTGTAAATGGGTCTCCTTTGGGCTATGCATAAATTGGCTAATTAAACTCACTGCATAGGCAATATCCGGCCTGGTATGCGACAAATATATAAGTCTGCCCACTAATCTTTGGTACATATTTTTTTCAACGAGCAAAATCTTCTTACTGCATTTCCAAGCTTTAGGTTTGGTTCTAATGGGGTACTAGCGAGGTTTGCAAGGCTGCCTTGCCAGTTTCCTTGAGCAAATCGGTGATGTATTTCTGCTGAGATATAAATATCCCTTTCTCGGAGTGGGCAACTTCAATTCCCAAAAAATATTTTAGTCTTCCCAAGGTCTTGATCTCAAATTCCTTGTCTAAGCATTGGCTCAATAATTGCTGCTCTTCTTTATTATCTCCAGTTAATATTATGTCATCCACATACACCAATAATATTGTTACTCCCCCTGACTTGGAATGTTTAAAAAACAAAGTATGGTCCCCTTGGCTTTGTTTGTAACCCAGACCTGTCATAACTTTAGTAAACCTGCCAAACCATGCACGGGGGGACTGTTTTAACCCATATAATGTCTTTTTCAACTTGCAAACAGTGTTGGCAGCAACATCTTTACCATATCCCGGAGGTATCTCCATATAAATTTCTTCTTCAAGGTCTCCATGTAGGAAAACATTCTTAACATCAAATTGTTCCAAATTCCAACCATAATTGGCAGCAAGGGGCAATATCACCCTAACTGTGTTCATTTTGGCAACCGGAGCAAAGGTCTCCAAATAATCAACTCCATAGGTTTGGGTGAACCCTTTGGCAACTAGTCTTGCCTTATATCTCTCAATTGATATCTCTCAATTGATCCATCAGCCTTGTATTTCACTGTATAGACCCATTTACATCCAACTAGCCTCTTTCCTATTGGTAAGGTGACTAACTCCCAAGTGTTGTTCTTCTCCAATGCCTCCATCTCTACATCCATGGCTTGCCTCCATTTTTCAGTCAGACAATGCCTCAGATAGGGTATTAGGTAGAAGTGCAGTGTTTAGGTTTACTAGGAAGGTTTTATGAGTAGGAGAGAAATTTTTAAAGGACAAGTAATTTGAAAGAGAGTAGAGTGGCTGTTTGGTGCATTTTCTTGTTCCTTTTCTTGTTCCTTTTCTAATAGCAATTGGGAGGTCAGGATCATTTTGGGTTACAATTTCAACCTGCACAGCTGGAGAAAAAATTGTTACCTCTTTTTGTGGAGTCGAGTTGAATTCTTGAACATGACTTGATCCTGGAATGGCCTTAGTCTTCCTTGAGTATACCAGCTTCTTACCAAATTTTCCAGCTTCAACATCTTCTTGATCAGCTTCAACATCTTCTTGATCAGCTTCAACATCTTCTTGATCAGTTTCACAATTAATTTCACTTTCTTGACCAATTCCTTGACTTGTTTCATTTGTTACAACTTCAATTTGATCTTCAATTTGATCTTGTTTAGGTTCAAATATCAAGTCTGGAAGAATGGGAAAACCAGAATTACTACTTTCAATATGATTTCGTTTAGGTTCAAATGTCAAGTCTGGAAGAATGAGAAAACCAGAATTACTACTTTCCTTATCTTCCCTGAAACTCTCCCCCTGAAGATAAGGTTGATGGAAATAGTCCTCTTGTTCATTGAAGGTAACATCCCTAGACACAGAATTTTTTGGATGGGGAGTGGTAGCATTTATACCCATTTTGAGTGGGTGAGTAACCAACAAAGACACACTTTAAGGCTCTAGGATCAAGTTTTCCCCTGTCTGTACTATGAATATGGACATATGAGATGCACCCAAAAACTCTTGGTTTAAGATTATTTGTAGTAGACAAGTTTGGATAGAAAGACGACAAAGCTTCCATAGGGCTTTTTGATCCTAAGACTCTAGAGGGTAGTCTATCGATAAGGTATGTTGCTGTAAGGACAGCTTCCCCCCAGAAATTTATTGGGACACTTTTTTGGAACAACAACGCCCGAGTCTGATTTAAAAGATGTCCATTTTTCCTCTCTGCGACCCCATTTTGTTGTGGTGTTTTGACACAAGAAGACTCATGAATTATACCTTCTTTTTGACAAAAAGAATTAAGGACATGATTTAAATAATCTTTGGCATTATCTAACCTAAGCCTCTTAATATTAACACCAAACTGATTTTTTATCATGGAGTGGAAGTTTAGGAAGACAGAACTGACTTCTGATTTTTGTTTAAGTAGGAAAACCCAAGTGATCCTTGTACAATCATCTATAAAGGTGACAAACCATCGAGTACCAGACACATTTGGAATATTAGAAGGTCCCCATAGATCAGTATGAACAAGATAAAAAGGGAAATTGTTAATTCTATTACTTATTGGAAAAGATATACGCTTGTGCTTAGCAAGTTCACACACCTCACAATGAAGACTTTCAACATCTAACTTGGTAAATAGAGAGGAAAACATAATTTTGATCACTCCAAATGAGGGATGTCCCAACCGACAATGATAAAGCATGATTTTTTCTCTGTTGGTCATCAAGGATTCAGATATGAAGGAGTGAGAGATTCTATTCTTGCTGGGGAGACTTGGATCTTCGAGATAATAAAGGTCATTCCATTCTCTAGCATGTCCAATCATCCTCCCTGAATCCTTGTCTTGAAATACACAATGATCGTTGAAAAAAACTTTACATGACAAATCCTTTATAAGTTTTTGTATAAACACTAGGTTCGTGGACAACTTTGGGACATGGAGAACATCTTTTAAGGTTATTAAAGGATTGATTTGGATATTTCCTTGACCAGCTGCAATTATAAGAGTTCCATCTGTTGTGGCAATTTTCTTGTTGCTGGGACATGGGGAATATATGGAGAAGTGTTTGGCTAATGGTGTCATGTGATATGTGGCTCTAAAGTCCAATATCCAATAATGGTTAAAAAGTGTATCTGAGACATTTAATCCAAAAGAAGGTGGAAACTTACCTGAGTATGCCAAAGAACACATACCTGTAGGTTTTTCCAGCTTACTAAGAACGGTTTTCACCCTTTCTATCTCCTCTTCCCTTGACATTATAGCAAAAAAGTGCGATGCAACAGTAATGCAGACTGTCGTCTTAGGATTAAAAAAAATGCAGCAGTAATGCAGTCTGCCGTCTTAGAGTTAAGAAAAATGCAGCAACAATGTAGGCTGTCGTCTTAGGGTTTATCGCGCATAGACAGAGCTTCCTAGATCGGAAGCTCTGATACCATCTGGAAAATTAGATTAACTGAAATATGATTTTTATTATATCAATACAAAGAGATGATATAAGATATATACAGGAGACCTAAGCTATTTTAGGAAATATAATAACTCTATTTTATGCTAGGATCCCTTGATTTATGGGATTGTTCCTAATTATTCAAATCTGTACAGATTACAAGGAAATATACAAATTTCCTGATTTATTCTTTCCTAAAATACTATTTGATTTCCCACAGGATCAAACTGCTCAATTAAAATCATTTATCCCATTTGCTGAATTAAAAGTCATGTTTAAAGTTGTCATGTGTTCTTTAAAAAAGGTGACACTAACATGAAATACTTTAGTGTCTAGAGAATAACATTTATACCCTATTTGAAGACGAGAACATCCTAGAATGAGATATTTGATGGCTCTTGCCGAGAGTTTGTCCAAATATAAAGACATGTCATGTAAAAAGCACATGGGAGAAATATGAAAGTGATGTTCCTTTGGAAACAAAATGGAGTAAGAAAATTTATTTTCCAAAGAAGAGAACATTCTATTAAAAAGGTAACATATACAATTAGAATAGCATCCCAGGTATATTGGCTCCAATCAATAAGGTTTGTGCTGTTACAACTAAGTATCTATTTTTCTATCTTTGCTAAAGTGTACGAGGAAAAGTGGATTGATACATAATGGCAAGTGAATTTAAAAAAGTGGCAAAACCAAAAGAAAGGTACTTTTTGGCATTATCACTCTTAAAACTCTCAATAAGATTGGACCCAGATATCAGAATGAATTGTAAAAAAAAAGATAAGGTTACATCTTGTTTCAATTCTTTAGGAAAAGAAGATTTAACATATTTACCTAATTGACATGATTCACATTCTAAGACTTGAAGTTTGCTAATAAGCTTAGGAACAATCCTCTTTATGCTTTTTATTGTCATATCTTTTCAAGAAAATATGTTTACTTAATGGTGTATGTGGATGACAAGTCATTAGTGTAGTGATGTCGATAAAATTTCTCAGCTAAAAAACATTTATGCATTCACTTTCAAACCAAAGATTTTAGATGCCTCAAATACCTTTTGGGCATTGTCGTGACTCAATCAAAAGAGGATATTGTTATCTCTCAAAGAATATATACTTTAGATATCCTAAAAGAAATAGACATGATTGTAGATTAGTAGATAGTTCAATGAATCCAAATTAAAAATTAATGATAGAACAAAACGAACCTGTCTCAAACCCAGAAAGATATAAAAGATTTATTGGAAAATTCATTTATATGATTATTAGTAGACCTGACTTGTCTTTTCTTGTTGGACTAGTTAGTAAGCTTATCCAGACTCCTTGTATATGATCACTGGAATGTTGTTGTTCACATTTTCATATATCTCAAGAAGACTCTAGGACAAACATAATATGAAGATAAATTAAGGCCCCACACGAAGATGATTATATGAAAATAAATTAATATATGAAGATAAGGGACATATATGTGCCCAGGTCTAGTCATGCCTCCACTCTCTAGTATGTTATGTTTTCATTGGAACTAGTATTTCTTGGAAAACCAAGATACAAAAAGTGTTGAGTGATGAAATCTCTCACTTGTGAACTTGAATTAAACAATTCATCCAAGAGCTAAAGTTTTACTAAATTCAGCAAATGTGAATGTACTACGATAATCATGTAATAATCATAAAGCTAAGGAGGATAATCATCCCTCAAAAGCCAGCCCAAGAGGTTGGAGAACCTCCTGCCTTATAATACCTCCCTGGTAAGGAGACCTCCCCGATGTGGGGCTTGTTACAATACCACCCCCTTCGAAAGTCAGCGTCCTCGATGGCTGCACTCCCTGGTACTTCACTCGGCCTTTTTTGCCAGTCAGAACCCTCCGGTGGTCAGAACTCTCCATGGGTAGCCCTTCTCGAGTTGGCTGGCTTTCAACGAAAGCACTAATGTAATAATCATAAAGCTAAGGAGGGTAACCATCCTTCAAAAGCCGGCCCAAGAGATTGGAGAACCTCCCGCCTTATAAGGTCTCCCTGGTAAGGAGACCTCCCCGATGTGGGGCTTGTTACAATTCATACAGTTATTCACATTACTTTCATTTTGTATTTCATGAGAGAACTAAACACACAGAGTTTAACTATCATTTGGTTTGAGAGAAGTTATTGAAAAAGAAATTTACAAGCATTTGTCAGCTTCACTGGTTAACTGCAGATATTTTAACCAAATTCTTGTAAGGACCTCAAATTCAATGTTTAAGTTGAGTATATATAATCTGTAACTACAACTTGAGAGAGTGTTCGAATAGTTTATTTGTTGGTGAACTAGTTCAGACAGGATAACTTGTCTTCTCTAAAATTACTTATTAGCTTCTAGCATCTTCAAATAGCCTGTTGCCTCCACAACACTCTTTGTAATTTTGTGTACTTTCCCCTATAAATAAATAGACCAGCTAAGAGATACTTAATTTTCTCTCTCTCTCTCTCTCTCTCTATATATATATATATATATATATATTTTTTTTTTTTTTCATCTCAAGTATGGAAATGTCACAAAATAACTTTTTTGCACACTCGTTTAAAACTCCCTTTGTTGGTTGCAATTTATTGGAGATCACAAAATTGTGGGTCCCACATGCTATTTAATAAATCTATCATTTTTATGTAATTATCAATAAATTTTAAATGTGTTAAAAGAGTGTGTTAGAGTGCATTGTTAGCACTCCTCTTCCTGACATGTTCCCTCCATTTTTTAATGATGGTTTATCTTAACTATGGTTTCTTATATGCTCACTCTTAAATTGTTTTTAATCTTGGTTTTATGTAAGCTTTAGCACTTTACAGATATTGTCTTAAACAAGTTATACTCAGTTCAATAAGAGCATTCATTTATTCCTTAAATGTTCAAATAGCCTAACAGATGAAGGAAGAAGATAAACACCTTGGTTAAGAACTCCGTTGAACATTAAATACTACTGGAAGTTAACCTTTCTATCAATTGAAAGCTGTTAAGGTTCCAACATAAAACCAATTGGCAATATGTGGAGTAGCCTAACATGTATTTAAATCATACCAAATGATATGAGGTAGGCGATGTGGGACTTTCAACACACCCCCTCCAACGAAGCCTGCCGGACCAGGCAAAGGGTACTTTTGACCCAACTAAAGGGCAACTTTTGGCCCATGACAATAACCGGAAAGATGTTAGGCTTTGGCTCTGATACCATGTTAAGATTCCAACATAAAACCAATTAGCAATATGTGGAGTAGCCTAACATGTATTTAAACCATACCAAATGATATGAGGTAGGCGATGTGGGACTTTCAACACACCCCCTCCAACGAAGCCCGCCGGACCAGACAAAGGGTACTTTTGACCCAACTAAAGGGCAACTTTTGGCCCATGACAATAACCGGAAAGATGTTAGGCTTTGGCTCTGATACCATGTTAAGGTTCCAACATAAAACCAATTGGCAATATGTGGAGTAGCCTAACATGTATTTAAACCATACCAAATAACATGAGGTAGGCGATGTGGGACTTTCAACACACCCCCTCCAACGAAGCCCGCCGGACCAGGCAAAGGGTACTTTTGACCCAACTAAAGGGCAACTTTTGGCCCATGACAATAACCGGAAAGATGTTAGGCTTTGGCTCTGATACCATGTTAAGATTCCAACATAAAACCAATTGGCAATATGTGGAGTAGCCTAACATGTATTTAAACCATACCAAATGATATGAGGTAGGCGATGTGGGACTTTCAACAAAAGCATCCAAATCTGGTTTGTCCGATATCATCTTAAAGCTAAAATTGCCAAATAATATATAATCAGCACCCTAAGAATTAAGGAAGACTATATCAGGATGCAATTTACCAAGGATCAAAGATAAAAAATAGCCTCACACCATGTTAGCTTTCATCTTAAAATTGGGAGGCATTCAGTGAATTGAGATAGGATATATGGGACTTCCGAACAGGCTAACCTCCTTTAAAAGCTAGCTATCAAGGAGGGAGAACCAAGCTATTTAAGTACTATATTCTAGATGTCGAACTCAGGTGCTCTACGATACACAAATCCCCATCAGAAGTGGAAATTTATACTCCTACGTGTATTCCACTAAGAGTTTCATAGTTCACAACATGTGCTATCTGATAACAATTGTTTAAGGTATATTCTGATAATTGATAAAGCATAAATGGACAAGCTATAAGCTATATGCTGGACGTGTGCCAGTAAATAAGTTATCCATAATCATCCACATATAGCTAATGTTAGAAGCAGGTAATTTATTAGGAAGAATAGGAAAATCTCCCTTAGCTACATAAGATCTGCACCTCCCCAACTCGAGAGTCCTAATCCTCTCTCAAATGAGATTGAGGAGCTAGCTCTCGCTCTCAGCCTCTCATATTAATTAATTATAGGTAATAAACCTTAATTCTTCTCTATATCAGCCATCAAACTAATGGATATTATCGAATAACTGACACTCTCATTAACAGATATTAACAACAAACAGATATTTGTAGACATCTATGACTAACCTTGGAAATAGACTGCAGAACCTCCTTGACTGTTTCAGGTTTGTTACACAAATCAGGAAAATCTTGGTAATCTATACCAGCTTGTTGGGCCCACTTCTCCAGAGACTGTTGTGAAGCAACAACTAGAGCCACACAGTAATTATGAAATGGGTCTGCATAAACCATTATATTGTCCACATAATCACAGGATGCTAGTGCTGCCTCAACCTGCAATTAAGTCATAATTAAAGAAACACAATGTAAGGCCAGAAAAAGTTATTGTGGATCTTGTGTCAGTATTTCATCTATATGCCAAAACGAAAATGTATAGTTTTGAGTAACCTTTCCAAGAGATATATATTCTCCATGTTGAAGTTTGACAATATCTTTCTTCCTATCTATGATTTCAAGACATCCATCAGGATTGAATTGCCCAATATCACCGGTATAAAACCAGCGCATACCTTTCTCATCAACCTGTAATAAGTTAAAATCCAAAAAAATGTAATGTGGCTTAGTATTAGGCAAATATAGATTTAAAGTTAAAGGACATTAAAAAGGAAAAACAGCATGCATACAACTGTATCTTTGGAAATTACCTTGAACACTTCTTTAGTTTTTTCTTCATTCTTAAAGTAACCAGCCGTCACACTAAATCCTCCAACCACAATCTCTCCCCTTGGCATTGGTTTATCTGATGTCAAATACCCTCCTTCTTCCCAAGAAATAAGCTATACACATTAATAAAGAAATCAAGTTTCCACCATTAAAGCCCTTCTAGGTAGTACAACCTGTAAGTTCTAATACATAAAAATTAAGAGATATGAACTTGTTATTTTCATCCATGTTTTTAAAACCAGTTTGAATAAGTCAATTTAAAACCAGTTTGAATAAGTCAAGGCTCTTATTCAAGATGGGTTGAACCAGTATTATAAAATTATATTAATAATTAAAAATACACAAAAATAATATTAAAATATAATATCATAACTTTATGATACTAAAAACTAAAACAAAACATAAATTTATAGGTTCTTAACATTTAAATACATGTAAAATTTTAAATAAAATAGGTTATCATACTTCTATTGAAATTTCAATAATATACATCCATATTTATTAATAATAACAAGTTTATATTTAGAATAAAAAAGAAGATGACTAATATTTAAGATTGATTTTTTTATTTTTATAAGTGTTGAATATAGGGAAAAACTGTATAGGGTTAATTTCCCTTGTGTGTGTATTTATAATAAAGAAAGGTACTCCTCAAAAGAGTAACAGTAATACAAATAGGGTAAATAAAAAGATATTATTTGATATTGTGATTAACAATATCTAACAATATCTCAACAATATCAAACAATATCAACTAATATCTAATCATATCTAACACTCCCCCTCAAGCTCGGAGCATACAAATCGTATGTGCCTAGCTTGGTACAAAGATAATCCATCCTAGGTCCCCGTAAAGACTTAGTGAAAATATCTCGCTAATTGATCACATGAGTTAACGAACTCAGTCTTGATGTCTCCAAGTCATAATCTTTTCCCGAATAAAATGGCAGATCAATCTCAATGTGTTTAGTCCTCTCATGAAAGACAGGATTAGAGCTTATATGGAGAGCAGCCTAATTGTCACACACTAGTGTCATTTGAGTGACATCTCCAAATTGTAGCTCTTTAAACAATTGCTTGAGCCAAATAAGTTCACAGGTAGCCGAGGCCATAGCTCTATACTCGCTTCGCACCTGGATCTTGCCACAACACTTTGTTTCTTACTTTTCCATGAGATCAAGTTACCACCAATGGAAACACAATACCCAGATGTAGATCTTCTATCGGAGGGAGATCCTGCCCAATCGACATCCGAATAGCGAGACAACTCTTGTATGATTATGGGAGTCATACACCAAACCTTTTCCAGGAGACTTTTTGATGTACTTCAATATACGGATGACCGCATTCCAATGATCTTGACAAGGAGAATTGAGGAATTGACTCACCACACTGATCGCAAAGGAAATGTCGTGGCGAGTAACTCGTAAGATAATTTAATTTTCCAACTAATCTTCTATACCTGTTCGAGATCCGACATTGGCTTCCCTCGATTTGGCAAGAGTTTGGTATTAGGATCCATGGGTGTGTCAACAGGCTTTGAATTCATCAACCCAGCTTTCCTCCAAAATATCCAATGCATACTTTCTTTGAGATATAACAATGTCATCGGTAGATTGTGCTACCTCAATACCCAAGAAATATCTCGAGTTTGCCAAGATCTTTGGTTTGAAAATGGTGGCAAAGGTGTTGTTTCATCCGAGAGATGCCATGATGGTCACTACCTGTAAGAACAATGTCATCGACATACACTATCAAATAGATACATCCAAGCATTCGAGTGACTGGTAAAAGACCGAGTGGTCTCGCCTCACTTCTAGTCATGCCAAATTGTTGAACAACGTCGCTAAATTTTCCAAACCAGGCCCTAGGAGACTGTTTTAGGCCATATAAAGATTTGCGTAGACGACATACCAATCCGGAAGACTCCCCCGAGCAACAAATCCGGAGGTTGCTCCATATAAATCTCTTCTTGCAAATCGTCATTCAAGAAAGCATTTTTGACATCCGAGTTGATAAAGAGGCCATTGTTGAATAGCGAGTCATGGCAATGAATAAACGAACGAAGCCATATTTGCCACTGGAGAGAAAGTATCACCATAATCCAACCCAAAAATTTGGGTATAGCCTTTGGCTACAAGGCGAGCTTTGAGGCGATCAATAGTACCATCAGGACCAACCTTGATAGCGAAGACCCACCTGCAACCAACAACAGATTTTCCAGATGGTAATGGGACAAGCGTCCGTGTTCCACTAGTCCGAAGAGCACCGAGTTCATCTAGCATGGCCTCGACGCCAACCAGGGTGGGCTAAGGCTTCAGAGACGATTTAGGAATAGACACAGAAGAAATAGACGAGAGACAAGTATAAAATGGTGAAGAAATTCGATGATAACTTAAAGCAAGTATAATGTGGAGAAGGATTACGAGTAGAACACGTACCTTTACGAAGGGCAATAGGAAGGTCGGACTCGTGGACGGAACCGGAGGAGGCAGAGTATTTGGCACTGGGAGTGAGTCATGTGGCGTCTCGTTGTGGGCGAGGTCTGCGACTATAAACCCGAAGGGGTGGTGGAGGAGGAGGGGCTAATGGTAGATGGTCCTCAACATAAGGATCAATGAGAACAGGAATGGGAACTGTAGCAGATGGAGACTCAGCAGGTAGGGAAGGGTCCTTAAAGTAAAAGGAAAACTCATTGAAGGTGACATCGGCAGACACAAAATAGCGATTAAGAGAAGGAGAAAAACACTTGTATCCTTTTTGGGATCGAGTAAATCCTAAGAAAACACATTTGTGTGATCGAGGAGATAACTTATCATGACCAGGATCAAAATTGTGGACAAAACAGGTAGACCCAAAAACCTTCGGAGGTAAAGGATGGAGAGTGTCATGAGGAAATAAAATAGAATGGGGAATTTTGTTATCTAAAACCGAAGAGGGCATACGATTAATAAGATAACAGTAAGTAAGAACAAGCATCACCCCAAAAATGTTGAGGAACCTCACCATGAATTAAAAGAGTACGGGTTTTTTCAATAAGGTGTCTATTCTTGCGCTCGACCACCCCATTTTGTTGAGGGGTATAAGCACAGGAAGTTTGATGAAGAATGCCATGAGAAGCCATAAATTGTTTAAACGAGTTTGAAAGATATTCACGACCATTATCACTTCGAAAAGTTTGAATAGAGACACCAAATTGATTTTTAATTTCATGATAAAAGTTTTGGAATATAGAAAACAACTCGAACCGATTTTTCATTAAAAATAACCAAGTACAACGAGAGAAATCATCAATAAAAGTAACAAAATATTGAAAACCTAAATTAGACTTAACACGACTGGGTCCCCAAATGTCGAGTGAACTAAGGCAAAGGGGGATGAAGCACGCCTGGGAAACACTACGAGAAAAGGAAGTACGACTATGTTTGCCTAATCGACAGGACTCACACACCAAATTGGACAACTCGGGATAAGCCGGGAACAAGTTGCCGTAATTTGCGCAGACCGGGTGACCAAGTCGAGCATGAAGGAGAGAAGGAGACTCCATAACCGTGCCAACATGTGGAGAAGGTTGAAGATAATAAAGTCCATGTGACTCACATCCGGTGCCAATCACTCTTTGCGAGCTCCGGTCCCGTAGGGAAACAGAGTTTTGGTAAAAGAGATAACACAATCAAGAGATCGAGTTAGACGGCTAATGGATAATAAGTTAAAGGGGGACCCGGTACATACAAAACATTATCAATGGACAACGAGGGAAAAGAGTAACCGTTCCAACACCATGAGCTAAAGTTGTAGACCCATTAGCCATTGTAACAGAGGGTAAATTATGAGAAGAAGTGAAAGAGGAAAATAAGGATTTGTTACTAGTGATGTGATTGGTGGCGCTCGAGTCAAGAACCCAAGGGCCAATAGAAGAAGAGTGAGTCGGACCAGACAAAAGATGTACCGTGTGGGCAACGAAGTAGTGGAACTCGGAGGGCTTTCGATCCTCATACCATTGAAGAAAATCATTGAAGATAGCAGATTTGTCTCGAAGGTACAGACGAAGGAGGATCCACAGCAGAGGATTGTGCGGAAGAATCAGCCCGAGCAACCGCAACGGATCGGCGAGGATAACCATGTAAAGCATAACATTTGTCAATTTTGTGGCCTAGTTTGCCACAATGGTCACACTTGACACGCCCTTTGCCTGGCTTGTGAGAGCGATTACGATCATCACGGTGAGAGGCCAAGGCGAGATGAATCATTAGAAACTACAGGGGGAATATTGAGAGGTTTACATGGCACCCGCAAAAGGGAGGAACTGGTAGCGGTAAACCGGGTGTAACAGGGGAACCCAAAATCCGGTCACGAACAGGGCATATTTATCGGCAAGTCCGTGTAACATCAAAACCATGAAAAACTTTGATCGTTGCTCTAATTCTTGGGCAGGAGTCGAGGCAGGGGGTAATAACTCATTAAATTCATGGAGAAGAGCATGGATCTTACCCACATAATCCGCCACAGGATCCTTATCTCGAGGAGCAATAACATCAAGAAGATTGTAACAAACACCATAAAGACGTTGAGTGTCATTGGTGTATAATAATTTGGCTTGTTCCCAAACGTCATAACATGTGCCATACGATCGAAAAATTTGTTTTAAAGAAGATTGGATGGTATTCTTGAGAACCATACATATATGAGCATCAACTTTCTTCCAACTGGACACGATCATTGGAAGGAACATCATCTACCTTGGTAGTAAGATGATCAACATACCCCGACTCTCAAGCCAAAGTCTAATATCGGATGCCCAAGTTGCATAATTCGTACCATCTAATTTATCAATGGGTAAATTCACATTGACATAATTAGTAAAAACAGATTGCTCAGACCCACCGGAGCTCGACGGAGGTAACTTCGGAATTGGAAGTGGCGACGGAAGATGCCATGGAGGAAGAGAGAGAAAAACCCTAAAACACCAAAGAGGTCCGATTGGAGTAGCGAGGACAGATCCAGAGAGAGGAGAAGGAGGCGACGCCGGCGCAAAGATCGGCGGCCTGAACGGCGGCGAGACGCGCCGCCACGCGCGGCGGAATGGGAGAAGGTGGCGCGGCTTCGGGAGGCGCGTGAGGGAGCGTGGCTGCTCCGATGACCGCGAAACTTCCACGGTGGAGGTCGCACGGAGGAGGCGAGCAAAACCCTGTGCTCGGCGGTCCGAACTGCTGCTCTGGCGACGGCGGCGGCGGACGGCGGTGGCGACGGCGGCGGCGATGGAGGCGGCGACAGCTGCAGGTTCAGTGGCAGAGCCGAAAAAAAATTCCAAGAGACCTTAAGCTCTTGATACCATGTTGAATATAGGGAAAAACTGTATAGGGTTAATTTCCCTTGTGTATTTACCACACATAGGGCAGTGTATTTATAATAAAGAAAGGTACTCCTCAAAAGAGTAACAGAATACAAATAGGGTAAATAAAAAGATATTATTTGATATTGTGATTAACAATATCTAACAATATCTCAACAATATCAAACAATATCAACTAATATCTAATCATATCTAACAATAAGAAAAAAATTAAAATTGTGATTTTTTTCCATCAGGTTTCTCAGTCTAACACCTGTTGGTTCCACAATTTGATACTGGTTTTGCCTCACATGAGAACCGGATAGGGGACAGGGGACTCATTCCTGATCAGACCAGTCAGAACGGCCTATCCAATCCGAGAACCATGTTTCTCATATGTTACCAACTTATTATGGATGTGAAGTAAGTTTTATCACCCACTGACATGAAAATATAATAATTAATGGGCATTACCATCAAGCAAGGTAATATGTATGGAAATGCAGTGTTTTGGGTTGAGGGATATATATGACATACCTTAATGTAACCACAAGGAAGAGGTGGCCCAACACGTCCCACACTGTAGTCATCCCACTCTGAGAAAGCCGCCCCAGCAAATGTTTCAGTCAAGCCATATCCTTGCCCAATAGGAGCCCTATCAACAAGTCAATAACTATTGTTAGCGTATATAAGTTAAAGTACTCCACACTAGTACAGTAATCTCTGTAGTAGATGATCCTAATCTCTGTCACAGTTACAACTGTTTTGTTAACTCCGACATTACTACTGATTCAGCACAGTAGATTGAGATTGCATAGCACTCATAGAGTGTCTTAAAATATGCATTCTATGTAAATAAAATATTTCTTTTTCTTTTAATATTCTCTGAATATGAGATTGTAATAATAGAAAACTTCAAATCGAATTCAATAATACAAGGTTTAAATCAATTTTATCAACCTAGGGACAGTGTGACTTTTCCTGTATTTTAGTGTGAATCAATAAAATTACTATCAATCTATCATCAACGTTATTATGGTCATAATTAAATATGGAAAACCCTAGATACTCTCAAGTATTATAAGATACAATAAGATACAAGTATTAAGCCCCTCAAATTGGTCGCTCAAATATATCTCCAAATTAGTATCCCAATGATTTAAAATGCGACCATATAGGGTTTCATGGAGGACTGAATTAATGACAAAAAGAAGCTCTGAAGATAAGTTTGGTAACAAATTAAATCTTCGAGGAATTTAGTGGCAATCTTTCGAGGACAATGGTGACAAAAAAGAGGCTCAATGAAAAATACGCATGTTATTTTAGTATTTTCTAATGTATGTACCTAACTTTAGTGTTAAGGTTCAGATAGGAGCCTTACCTCCTTTTTTGTACTCTCATGTGTGTGTACATATATATATATATATATATATATATATATATATATATATATGTATATATATATATATAGGTAAGTAAAGTTTATTTTAGTCCCTTCAATTTAGAAAAATATGGTTTTAGGCCCTAAATACTAGATTTGAAGGACTAAGTTCAGTTTTAAAAAACTTGTGTTAGTCCTTCAAATTTACTGTTTAAGGACTAAATTCATATTTTCTTTCAATTTAAGGGGACTAAAACAACTTTTTAATTTGTGGAACTAAAATCATAATTACTCTACATTTCAAGGACTAAAAACATAACTAATATTATACATCATGCTCAATTTGTGTCCTTGCTTCTTTGGTGTTTGGTCAAGTTTCTGCCTTCACAGATTAGGGTTTCTTTCTTTTCAGACATGGTTGTCCCTTTTTGTTTTTGAGATGACTTAGTCGGTTCTATCCTTTCTTTTTCTGCTACTACTATAACAAGTGTCAAGAAAAAACTACTTATCTTCGTCTGCCTCTATGGAGTTGGGATTTTTTGGTCAAGATATCATGATCATTTGAAAACTAAAGCCAACTCTATTTTTGAAAGTGATAGATCTATGTGGCAAAAGAATGACTTCCGACTACGTGTTGTTTTATGGTAGTTAGTTGAACCTAAGGTTCTAGAGATAGTTAGATCCTTCAAGGCATGTTGTTCGTTTTAGAAAACACAAGATATTTTTGCTAATCAGCATTGTTTTGATGCAACTAAAAGAGTAGCTTTCCTTTGACTGACCAACTATGATATGGTCTTTCATGTTGCAAAAGTTAAAGTTGTAGTAAAAAAATTTAAAAGATTTCTATTGGCTAACATGCTGGAAGACCTCAACAAGAACCTTGATAAATTATATATTATCTTCATTATGAAATGTCTACATTTAGACTTTGATCATGTACAAGATCAAATTCTAGTTGGTGATCAAATTCCTTCCATGGATAGTTTCTAATCACAAGAATCATTGTGTCTAACTTGATGAAGGATGAAAATCAAGCTGAAATTATTGAAACTTTTGCAATGGTAGTACCTTGTGAAACAGGAAGAATTCACAACATCTGAGGAGGACGAAATGATAGGAGTGGACGTCCTCAATGCTCATACTACAACAAAATGTGTCATAGGTAACAATATTGTTATTCCTTGCATTGCTTTCCATAAATGGCTACTCATATGTCTAAATCTGAAAAATCAGATTTCAAGATTTCTAAGGAACAGTACTACAAATATTTTAGGTTCAAATCTGAGAAATCCAATACTCAAGATCAATCTTCTTCAGTGTCAAGTGTGTCAACAACATGTATTTCTCCATAATGTGTGGAATTTTTACTCAAGTGCCTATAATCATATCTCTGGTAATAGTTCTTCATTTTCTTTCATGTTTTATCCTAAACCTCCTCACACCATTACTGTTGCTAACGGATCCAAAGTAGTATCTCAAAGAATTGGCTAAGTTTCTTTATCTCTTTCAATGAGATTAAATTTTGCATTGTTCATTCGTCATTATCATTACAACTTGATCTAAGTCGATTGACTCGCTCTTTGCATTGTTCTACAACTTGAATTCTAATCCATTTGTTTCTACTAGAACATGGTACAGGTCATCTAATTAGGAAAGGACATGGATCATGAGGTCTTGATCATTTGAAACCAAGCCCCTCTATGTCTTCTTTTGCAACTTCAACCTCAAAACTTTTGCATGATCATTTGGGCCATCCAAGTTTATCAAAATTGAAGATGATGGCTCCCAATCTCAAACAACTTCAAGTTTTAGAATGTAAATCTTGTAAATTAGGAAAGTATGTTAGAGCTTCATTTCCCAGTGAGTTTGAAACATGATGTAATTATGGTTTTACCACCATCCATTCTGATATTTGGGGACCAAATCGTGTCACCTCTTTCGATTTCGATATTTTGGAACTTTCATTGATGAATATTCTAAATTTACTTGGGTTTACTTAATGAAAAACACGAATGAACTTTAACCCATATTTATGCCTTTTTTAAAGAGATCAAAAACCATAATTAAAATTCTCACAAGCGGCAATGCTAAAGAATATATTTTTATTGTATTTTCTTCATTCTTTACTTCTCAAGGAATTTTACATCAATTTACATGTCCTCACACCCCACAACAAAATGGTATTACAGAAAGGGAGAATAATCAGCTCATTGAAACTGCAAGCTTTCTAATATTGAACACTAATGCTCTTCATCATTGGGGAAATGGAGTCCTGACTTCTTGTTTCCTAATAAATAGAATGCTCTCTTCCTCTCAAGAATAAAATTCCTCCTTCTATTATTTTTTCAAATGATCTTCTATACCATGTCTCTCCACACGTGGTTTTGTTGTATTAGACAAACTTTCTACAAAGGTCATTAGTGTGCTCTTCTTGGATATTCTCTCCTTTAGAAAGGGTAAAAATGTTATTCTCCCTCAACCAAAAGTTATTACATGCATTCAACATGTTCTTCCTATACCATGTGATTCCTACTCCTTCTCCAACTTAAACTCAAAATGTTGATGACATTGATCCAACACCTCTTCTCACATATCAACACAAGACACAAACAACTCTTTTATCTTTTATGAAGATCCTCGTGATTCAAATCATCCTCCATGAGATTTCTGTACCATGGGTCCTTCATCCTCAATATCTTATCCTAACTCCAATTTTGGTTGGCTTGTTGCTCTTCATTCAACTTGTATATCTATCTATCTATCTATTTGTCTATCTATCTATCAATCTATATATATATATATATATATATATTTGGTGACTAAACTTTTAGAAAGGGATGATGTGGTATAACGCATAACATTGAATGACCAAACTAAAGCTTTTCCTCAACATAAAATTAATCACATTCTTTCACCCTACATGCTTGACGGTATTTCTTTTCTCCCCTATTTAGGAGAACTTAAGTCTTCATAACTTTTCAGCATGATGATGTTCATTCTATAATAGCATACAAGTAGCAACTACAAAATGGACATATATCGTCTTACATTTGCTATATTAGATAGAAATTCATATTGAAATGGATCTTACATGCAAACTATACATAGCTTTATCCATCTACATACATAACCCCACATAGAATAGTGGTGTGTGAACACAAGGACATATATATGTTTAAATTCAAATACCAATTAGTTCCAACCAAGTATTATGCAGTATGAAAATGGGAACTATTACCCCATGCAGATATTTATGAAGTATTGTGAATCTCCCGATAAAGGAGCTCCCCCACAAAGCATAAATCGGAGCTGGCCTCCAAGTGCAGTCCGAATTTGTTTAAAGACAATGGTATCCCACACCAACTTTTCTAATCCCCAAGCTCCAAGCCAACTTCCTTGTACTGCAGCCAGTCGGCGCTTGTAAGCAAAATGGAAAAGATTCTTCACAAGGCCCCCTTTTTGCTCAACCTACATATAATGTAAGAAATGGTAAGAGAAATAGCAAGTTTACTATCTATATAGAGGAAAAAGAGTTAACTCGTTATTAAAATCTTTTACGAGAAAACTCTTTAGATTCATATAAACTCTCTAGTACAGAATGAGTTAAATAAGTTTGAAATCAAATGTAATTTTTGTTTGACTTTTACCCATAATGACAATATTTTATTGTATTAGACTCAAATTATTTGAAGAAATAAACTCCTTTTTTGAATTGTTTTCACATTAAAAACTTATATTTTTATGAAGTTATATATGATTTTGTCATGTATGTAGTTTAATCTTAAGTAGCATTAATGTCCTATCATACTTTATTGTTTTGATTTTTTCTTAATTATGAAGGGGAAATATTTAATTATTGTTGTGTCAATAGTCTCATGTTATGTTATATGTCATCATAAATTTTTTTATATTATTTTTTATACTAGGTAAACTCTTACGATGGAGTAGACCAATGATAAGCACCCAAACTGAGCAACCCATCCCTTATTTAAGGGTTAGAATCAATTCTAGGATGGTAAATGGTTAAAGATTTTACAGGAGATAGTTGAAATAAGAATATTAGTATAGTATTTATAATGTTCTTGAAGTATTTATTTTAATTTTTTAAAGTCAGATGATGACACTTTATAGTATTTATAATATTCTTTAAGTATTTATTTTAATTTTTTAAAGTCAGATGATGACACTTGTAAGGTTATTGTTTAGTTGCTGACGTCCTTTAGGTTATATAAATGTATTCCTCTTTATTTATTATCTTTTTTTTATGCATAGCATAAAATTAAAGTCCCCACCAAATTGAAGTTATGCATATGTATCCTTAAAAATTCAATGTGAAAGTTATGCATAGCATAAAATTAAAGTCCCCATCAAATTGTTAGGACTTAAGCACATGAAGAGAATTTAACTCAAAATACTAGTCCACTAGGTGGGAGAGTTTCATGGCTCATGTACCATATCAAGTGTTTTACTCAATTTGCACCGTAATCCAACCTAGAGGTACTTGTTGGGAAATCCAAGGGGTAACCGAGAAATCTCCATCAATTGACTATGTGTAAACAAACAAATAAACTTTGAGCACACAAGTAAACTTTAAGCAATAAATTCCTCGGTGCTTCTCACTACTATGTTGTTTGTCTAGTCTATTCCTACCAAATGTTGAGACTTCACATTTACACTTTCACTCCAACAATCACATCCAGTAGGCCCTAAACATTATAAATTGCTGTTAATATATTCTAGATATGTGAATTTCTACGAGGCCCCTAGAACTTAGTCATTGTCACCTATACGCTCCATATATATATATGTGTAATGTCGTTAGCTCACAACAATGGAAAACTAGCAATTCAGACAAATGAAATTGACAAAACATTTAGTTCAAAACCTTCAGGCATTAAGTTTGCAGGTTCTTCTCACTTGTATGTTTATTCAACCAATATATTTTTGCCCAATATATGGGACTTCCTTTTCACACTTGAACTCCAACAATAGCTCTTTTCGTAGCTCCACTTCAATGAAAGCACCAATTGTTAAGTAGGAGAACCTCATGGCATAAGTACCACAACAAATGGTTTATTCTACTCAATGTGAAAATTCTAACTAGTGTTAACAATATCAGATAACGCTAAATATCAACAACTAAAAAATTCTTTACAAAAATAAGTTAGATGCCATAGCTGGTTATAGCAAAAGCATCACAAACAAAAAAACATACAATATATAAATAAATAAAAATGCATGAATATAATTGAAAGGCAAAAAATAATGCAAGACAAACATATAATTAATAAATAGAAAATCTAGAATTTCAAATAACAATTAAATCAAAGCAAAAAAATCACCATGTTCAAGTTCTAAGACTAGAAATAATAACAAAACATAAGATAAATGTCATAAATTTCTAGGTTAACATTGAGCTTCTTTTCCATTAGATGTCCTTTAGCTCTAGTAATTCCTCCTTTCACAATTTCCCCACAATTATTACATAGAATAATAGTGTTGTAGTTTCATACATCCCACAAATGACAATATTTCTAACCGAGGTCATTCCTGTTGGACATTCTTGAACTACATTATTTAGTTGTCAATGGAGTTGTTGGAAAATAGATGATAACCTTTTGGTTGTTACCAAAAGGAAGAGAAAATAATAAAAGAAAAAAAATGCGGTTGAATTATAAAGAAAAAAAAAAAAGAGAATGAAAAACAAACAAATTCCCAATGTGAAGGTGGTGGCAACGCAATGGGATAACAAAGGTGGTGATGATGTGTGGTGAGGGAAATATTTAGTATAATAAACTACTTAATGTAGTTCAAAAAAAAAAAAAAAAAAACTTGATATTGTATTTAACTCGTGGTTCTCCCACTTAGTGGACTAGTTTTTAGGGTTTGACCAAGCCATGGTGGAAATTGGAAGCGGATATTATGTTGGCCACCAAGCCAAGGCAATGGCAAAATGGGTTTTTCATGGTGACCGCTATCATTAAATGTTGCCGCAAAGCGGCCATGGCAAAAATCTCTCTCTTATAGCCACACAACTCATATTGAGTGAAGAAAATTTGTTGGGTTGTGACTCGGCTCAACCTAGGACTAACCTATGGTTTTCATTTTCAACTTGTGGCTTTTGTTGTTTGTGGGGATTGTTTATTGGGATTTGTATGAGACCAAGCCAATAGCAACAAGAAAAAGAGAAAAAATGTTTGATTATTTTAAATGAGAACCAACCTAACACATGTAGGAAGAATTGGAGTAGTAGAAGCACTCTTAAGGGAAAGATATCAAAAACTAGTTCAAGGTAGTTTGCCCACGTGAGTTCAAGAAAAACAACAACCATAATGCAAAAATTGGACAAAATTGAAAGTCATATATTAGGAACCCATGATGGAAATAGGAAAAAGAAGAGAATGATTTTATTGTTTATTGGAAATTAACAAAATAAAGAGAACGATTTCTCCTTCAAAGTTCTCCCTTTTTAAAACCGAGCACTACTTGCTCAAGTCTCTCAAAACACAAGGTCATGTGTGATACTGTTAGGAACCAAGAATTAAACAGAAAAAGAAAAGAAGGTTTCTTTATTGAATAGAATGAAAAGACCAAGAAATAGGAGAAGACTCTCCTCCAAGGGTTTCCCCTTCACAAAGGATTTCTCCTTTTACAAAGAGTAATTTACAAAAAATATCCACACCCTTCTCCAATCCTTCACACCCTATTTATATCTAAACAACACCTTATGCAACTAACTAACTCATTAATATGCTAACTATCTTACTAACTTCTCCTTCCCCTTATACCCTAACAAATACCCTTCCCCTTTGTTACGCCTATTTATATATTTGACTAATAACCTATAACCAAGGTTATCGAACTCGAGAATCTATGCAAACTAATCAGAGCTCCCTAGACCCGACTCGTGAACTTGACTCATTAGAATTCATTTCATGTGAAAAATAATATACCAATTTGTTAGATATGATTAGATATTAGTTGATATTGTTTGATATTGTTGAGATATTGTTAGATATTGTTAATCACAATATCAAATAATATCTTTTTATTTATCCTATTTGTATTCTGTTACTCTTTTGAGGAGTACCTTTCTTTATTATAAATACGCTGCCCTATGTGTGGTAAATACATAAGGGAAATTAACCCTATACAGTTTTTTCCTATATTCAACATGGTATCAGAGCTTAAGGTCTCTTGGGATTTTTTTTTTCGGCTCTGCCACTGAACCTGCAGCTGTCGCCGCCTCCATCACCGCCGCCGTCGCCACCGCCGTCCACCGCCGCCGCCAGAGTAGCAGTTCGGACCGCCGAGCACAGGGTTTTGCTCGCCTCCTCCGTCCGACCTCCACCGTGGAAGTTTCGCGGTCATCGGAGCAGCCACGCTCCCTCACGCGCCTCCCGAAGCCGCGCCACCTTCTCCCGTTCCGCCGCGCGTGGCGGCGCATCTCGCCGCCGTTCAGGCCGCCGATCTTTGCGCCGGCGTCGCCTCCTTCTCCTCTCTCTGGATCTGTCCTCGCTGCTCCAATCGGACCTCTTTGGTGTTTTAGGGTTTTTCTCTCTCTTCCTCCATGGCATCTTCCGCTGCCACTTCCAATTCTGAAGTTACCTCTGTCAGCTCCGGTGGGTCTGAGCAATCTGTTTTTACTAATTATGTCAATGTGAATTTACCCATTGATAAATTACTGATAAATATGCCCCTGTTCGTGACCAGATTTTGGGTTCCCCTGTTACACCCAGTTTTACCGCTACCAGTTCCTCCCTTTTGCGGGTGCCATGTAAACCTCTCAATATTCCCCCTGTAGTTTCTAATGATTCATCTGCCTTGGCCTCTCACCGTGATGATCGTAATCGCTCTCACAAGCCAGGCAAAGGGCGTGTCAAGTGTGACCATTGTGGCAAACTAGGCCACAAAATTGACAAATGTTATGCTTTACATGGTTATCCTCGCCGATCTGCTGCAGTTGCTCAGACTGATTCTTCCGCACAATCCTCTGTCGTGGATCCTCCTTCGTCTGTACCTTCGGACAAATCTGCTATCTTCAATGATTTTCTTCAATGATATGAGGATCGAAAGCCCTCCAGGTTCCACTACTTCGTTGCCCACACGGTACATCTTTTGTTGGTCCGACTCACTCTTCTTCTATTGGCCCTTGGGTTCTTGACTCGAGCGCCACCGATCACATCACTCGGTAACAAATCCTTATTTTCCTCTTTCACTTCTTCTCATAATTTACCCTCCGTTACAATGGCTAATGGGTCTACAACTTTAGCTCATGGTGTTGGAACGGTTACTCTTTTTCCCTCATTGTCCATTGATAATGTTTTGTATGTACCGGGTCCCCCTTTAACTTATTATCCATTAGCCGTCTAACTCGATCTCTTTGTGTTATCTCTTTTACCAAAACTTCGTTTCCCTACGGGACCGGAGCTCGCAAAGAGTGATTGGCACCGGATGTGAGTCACATGGACTTTATTATCTTCAACCTTCTCCACATGTTGGCACAGTTATGGAGTCTCCTTCTCTCCTTCATGCTCGGCTTGGTCACCCCGATCTGCGCAAATTACAAGCAACTTGTTCCCGGCTTATCGCAGCTTGTCCAATTTGGTGTGTGAGTCCTGTCGGTTAGGCAAACATAGTCGTACTTCCTTTTCTCGTAGTGTTTCCCAGCGTGCTTCATCCCCCTTTGCCTTAGTTCACTCGACATTTGGGGACCCACTCGTGTTAAGTCTAATTTAGGTTTTCAATATTTTGTTACTTTTATTGATGATTTCTCTCGTTGTACTTGGTTATTTTTAATGAAAAATCGTTCTGAGTTGTTTTCTATATTCCAAAACTTTTATCATGAAATTAAAAATCAATTTGGTGTCTCTATTCAAACTTTTCGAAGTGATAATGGCCGTGAATATCTTTCAAACTCGTTTAAACAATTTATGGCTTCTCATGGCATTCTTCATCAAACTTCCTGTGCTTATACCCCTCA